GAACCAACTGAGTAAAAAAAACAAAAGTACAGATTTGTACATTGAGGAAAGAAGGATACACAGAAAGAGAAATTGCAAAACACCTAAAGGTGTTTTAACAAAGGAGTCCACTACACTCTGAAAGAACTAGAGGAACCGGGAAGTTATGATGATAGAAAAAGACCTGGATGAAAGAGAGTTACTACAAAAGCAGAGGATAAACATAGCATTGTCACCAGTAAGAGAGATCAGCGAAAGACAGCACCACAAATAAGGGAGGAAATCAACATGACAAGGTCGAAACCCATATCTCTGACAACCGTGAAATGACGTTTGAGAAAGGCTGGTCTGAAGGGTTGTGTATCTGCAAAACAAAAAACACTACTTCAACCACAGAACAAGAAAAAGAGATATGAGTGGGCAAAAGCTCACAAAAATTGGACTTCTGATGACTAGAAACAAGTTTGCACTATTTGGTTCAAAACGCAGAGTGTATGTCCGCAGACAAACTGGTGAACGTCTAAAAGCATCATGTGTTACATCCACAATTCAGCATGGAGGTGGTAGTTCCATGGTATGGGGATGTTTTGCAGTAGGAGTAGGAGATTTGTTTGAAGTAAAGGGTATCATGAAGAAGGAATAGTACCACTCCATCCTCCAGCACCATGCTGTTCCATATGGACTCAGACTTATGGCTCATAAGTTTGTTTTGCAGCAAGACAATGACCCTAAGCACTCTGCCAAGCTCTGTCAAGGCTACCTAGACAAAAAAGAAGAGGAAGGTTTTCTTCAAAATATGGTTTGGCCCCCTCAGTCTCCAGATCTTTCTCCAATTGAGCTTGTGCAGGATGAATTGGATCGATCAGTCAGAAAAACACGTCCCACGAATCAGCAGTCTCTTTTTAATGAACTTAAGAAAGCTTGGAATGCAATCCCTGGAACATACCTTAAAAAACTTGTGGAACGAATGCCTGGTATATGCCTGGTTGAATACAAAACTGCACTGATTATGTTTAGAGCAAGACACAGGCTTTTGCCAGGTAATATACAAAAGATGTTCAGTGATAAAGAGGGCGGTTACAATTTGAGATGAGAGCTTAATTTCAAGGTACATTTTGTTGGTTCAACATTGAAAACGATGTGCATTTCAGTTTGTGGAGTGAGTTTGTGGAATGGACTGAGCATGGAGGTTCAGCGAAGTCCAAACCTGAACAATTACAAGAAGGCATATAAAAATATTATTTTCAAGAGGTATTCAGATGAGGAGAGTCTGTGTTGACCTATTGAGTCAACACAGCCCTGTTTTCAGTTTTCAATGGATTGGTCTGAATAATTTTATCCCTGATACTACTGCAGTCATTTAAACTATTGTATATGCAGTAAAGAAGTTTGTGTTGGCAAAAGGGGGTAGGAGCTCGATAAGTTTTAAACTTCATCCTACTCCTTTTCGGACATTGTTGTTGGTTTTCTTTTTCTTCCTGATTTGTATTTTACTGTCTTATTTGATTAAATAATGTTCGAAATAAAAAAAATAAATAAATAAATAAATAAAATAAAATAAAAATAATAATAATAATTAAAAAAGCCACAGAAGGTTACTTTAAAGAAAGCAAAGTCGAAGCAACAATAACTCAAATACCTGATAATTATAGTCAAAATGTCTTCTGATAAGTTACTCTTTACACAATAGTTATGTTTATTGTGTTGCAAATTATATATATGAAACTATGATCTTTTTTTGTACAAATCTGATCTTCCAAACTATTGGCCTGTAGTGTACATATGCATACAAACATACATACATACATACATACATACGCACACACATACATACATACACACATAGACACACATACATGCCATAATATACACATATGTAAGTTAGTGTTCACAGATTTGTCTTTGTTTCAGCCATAGTTTTGAGTTATTTTTCAATCATTTCACTAACTAGGTCTGGGGTAAAGCCATTCACACACTTAAAAAACAGTTTAAGAAATGAGAGATTTATGTTTTCGGTCAGACAGTCAGAGTGTCTGCTCTTATTCCCTTTAAGAGTCCAGTGATCCTTTCAGCTGGGGTGTTACTATTAATACAGCAGATTTCAGCCTCTCTACACCAGGCTCCAGCCATTCATTTATTCATTCATTCGTCATTACTTCTGCACACATATCAGACTGCTTAAAATGTAACCAGTTAAGAAGCTTCTGAGCTGATCTAAGAGACCCTGCGTTTCTTTGAAGTGACAACATACAAACAAAAATCTGTCGAGGTAACGTGTCATGTTAATGCATAGACTTGTGGGGTGACTGGTGAGTTGTGAGGACCCAGAAGCAGACACAGAGACAGAGACACTGTCTCTGCAGGATTCACTGCAGGAAGAAACAGAGGAGAGAGAAGTGAGTAGACATGCAAAAGAGCACAAGCAGCAGAGTTACAAGTACTTATACAACAAGGAAGGCCAGGAGATGCGTCTGTACCACTTGGAAGGGTAGACAAGGGTAGGCGCTGAGACTGAGGGCTGCTGGCTTCTTGAAGTGCCTTGATTGCAGATGTAGAGCAGGTGTGTAGTCTCACTCAGCCTCAGCGACCGGGGGAGAGGAGGGAGCTCTGGAAGAAAGTCAAGCCAACCAGACAAACACGGAAACACGGGAAGTCCAGCCAAAATAAAACAGAAGGAGGAGGCGTCTCACCACAGTACCCCCCTCTTAACGAACGCCTCTTGGCATTTTGCCGGGTTTGTTGGGGTGACTTGTGAAGAAGTCCTCCAGGAGTTGATGGTCCAGGATGAGGGAGCGGGGGATCCAGGACCTTTCCTCTGGATCATCCCTATCATCATTCCCTACTCTCTCTCCCTCCCCCTCCCTCTCCATACTCATTCTCTCTCGCCTTTCCCCCATCTTGTTGTCTCTCTCCCTCCCCCTGTCCTCTCCCCCTCTCCCCTCTTCTCTCTACATTCCTCCCCAACCCAGCAGCGGCATGGTGGCTGTCTAGCATGAGGCTGGTCCTGCCCAAGGTTTCTGCCTGTTAAAAGGAAGTTTTTCCTTGCCACTGTAACTCATGTTAGTTGAGATGGGCCAAAACCCATCTTAGGTTGGTTCTTGATCATCAAACAATGAGCGTGGTCCAGACCTGCTCTTGTTCCTTGAAAAGCGTCTTGAGATGACGACTGTTGTGAATTGGCGCTATATAAATAAAATTTGATTTGATTTGATTTGATTTGATCATACCCCTCACAGTCCACGAGATATTGGAAGCCTCGCCCCCGAGGCCGCACGTCCAGGATTTGCCTTACAGTGAAGGCAGGGTGGTCGTCAATCAACCAGGGGGGTGGAGGGGCGACGGAAGGAGGGCTCAGGGTGCACGAGGTGACAGGCTTTATCAGGGAGACATGAAATGTGGGGTGAATTTTGAGGGATGACGGAAGTTTTAATCTTACCGCTGAAGGGTTGATGATTTTCTGGATAGGAAATGGACCAATGAAGCGGGGGGACAGCTTGCAGGACTCGGTCTGCAGGGAAAGGTCATGGAACAATAACCAGACCATCTGACCGGGACGATAGACGATAGATCGCCACACCTCCCGTAGACGCCCAATGTGCTCCCTCACTGACGGGACGGCCACCGGGTGATCCTGTTCAGAAAACAGGGGGGGGCTGGTACCCAAAACAGCACATGAAGGGAGACATACCTGTGGCCGAAGATGTGAGGGCGTTATGGGCGTATTGGATCCACGGGAGGTGCGTACTCCAGGACGCTGGATGATGGGCCGCCACACACCACAGGGCTGACTTGAGGTTTTGATTAGCCCACTCCGTCTGTCCGTTGGTCTGCGGGTGGTAACCCGAGGAGAGGCTAGCTGCTGCACCCACTGCCTGGCAGAAAGCTTTCCAGACCTGGGAGGAGAACTGGGGACCACAATCTGATACTATGTCAAGAAGAATCCCATGTAGTTGGAACACATGAGATACCAGGAGGTTAGCAGTTTCTAGAGCAGACGGGAGCTTAGGTAACGGGACATAATGAACAAATTTGGAAAATCTATCAATGATGGTGAGTATGACTGTGTTACCTTCAGAAGGGGGGAGACCAGTGACGAAATCTAGGGCTATGTGAGACCAGGGGCGTGAAGGCACAGGCAGAGGTCGCAGCAAGCCAGCCGGAGGTTGATGGGAGGCTTTGCCTCCGGCACAGATGGAGCAGGCAGCAACAAACGCCTGTACGTCCCGGACCATCCCTGGCCACCAGAACCACTGCTGGAGGAATTGGAGGGTGCGTTGAAACCCGGGGTGATAGGTGAGTTTGGAGGAGTGCCCCCACTGTAGGACCTAGGAACATGCAACCTCAGGGACGAATTTTCTGTCAGGCGGGCCGGTTCCCGGGTCTGGGTGGTTCCGGAGGGCCTGGTCCACAATGGTGTTGATCTCCCAAGTGGCGGAGCCGACAGGGAGGATGGTGTCCGGTTCGCTGGGGTCCGAGGTAACCGAGGAGTGGATCCGAGAGAGGGCGTCTGGTTTGAGATTGTGGGAGCCGGGACGATAGGAGAGGGTGAAGTTGAATCTACTGAGGAAGAGGGACCAGCGGGCTTGCCTGGAGTTGAGGCGTCGAGCGAAGCGGAGGTATTGCAGGTTCTTGTGGTCAGTCCAGATGAGAAACGGTTGTTGTGCTCCTTCCAGCCAGTGTCTCCATTCTTGAAGTGCCCACACGACAGCCAGCAACTCACGGTTTCCCATGTCGTAATTTTGTTCATTGGGTGAGAGTTTCCGGGAGAATTAGGCGCAAGGATGGAGCTTCTGGGTCTCAGAAACCCTCTGTGAGACGACGGCCCCCACTCCAGAGTCCGAAGCGTCGACCTCCACCACGAACTGAAGAGAGGGATCCGGGTGTTTGAGCACCAGGGCGGAGATGAAGAGGGATTTGAGCTGACAGGTGGTGTCCGCTTCGGGGGTCCAGGAGAACGGGACTTTGAGGGATGTGAGCCAGGTGAGGGGCACAGCCACCTTGCTGTAGTTTCAGATGTAACGTCAGTAAAAGTTGGCGAAGCCGAGGAATCGCTGGAGGTCTTTGCGGGAGGAGTGAGTGGGCCAGTCACGGACGGCGGGCATGACGAGGTATTCGAAGTGGCCCATGGGTGTTTTGAAGGCCGTCTTCCACTCGTCCCCCTCCCGGATGCGAACCAGGTGATAGGCATTCCGGAGGTCCAGTTTAGAAAAGATGGTGGCCTTGCAGAGAGGTTCAAAGGAGGGATTGATGAGTGGCAGGGAATATTTGTTCTTTATAGTGATCTCATTGAGTCTGGGGAAGTCAATGCAGGGACGGAGAGAGGAATCTTTTTTCTTCACAAAGAGGAAACCAGCAGCAAGGGGAGAGGATGAGGGTCGGATGAGTCCTGATGTCAAGGAGTCCTGGATGTATTCCTCCATTGCCTCTCGTTCGGGCCGAGAGAGATTGTACAGTCTGCTACTGGGGAGAGGGGCGCCAGGGAGCAAATCTATGGCGCAGTCATATGGCCGATGAGGAGGAAGGACGAGAGACTGCTCCTTACTGAACACCATAGCCAGATCATGGTATACGGGGGGAACCGAGGTGAGAGATGGCGGTGGGGATGCTGACCTCTGTGGATGTAGGGATTGGTGGAGCGGAGGCAATGGGAGTGACAGTGAGGACTCTAGGCGGAGATCGAAGCTGTTAATCTGAGGGTCGTGGATCTGCAGCCAAGGGAGTCCCAGCACCAGGGGAGAGTGTGGAGAGGGAAGCAGGAACAGCCGGATGTCCTCCCGATGGTTTCCTTAGAGGATGAGGGTGAGAGGAGCAGTGCAGTAGGTTATGGTGGCTATCACCCTGCCGTCGAGAGCGGTGACCTTACAGAGAGCCGGGAGTACCTCCAGGGGGAGCTGAAGCCGCACTGCCAGTCCGGCGTGAATGAAGTTGTCATCCGCCCCGGAGTCAATGTTGGGTTGGAGGGAAGTGGATTCTCTTCCCCATAAGAGACAAGCAGGAACCGAGATGTGTCTGGGAGAGCTAGAAACAGAGGAGGTGTGGCTCATCAGGGTGCCCTCTGTCACTGATGAGCCTGGCCGTTTAACTTATTAGGACTGTTGGGCAGAAAGTGGCCGGCCTGGCCACAATATACACAGAGCTTCTGCTCTATCCTTAGTCTCCGTTCATTAGGATGTAACTTAGTGTGGCCGATTTGCATGGGTTCCCCAGCAGAGGGTGCCGGATCCGGGAAGACTGAGGGCTGCAGAGGAGACCCGCTGACCGCAACAGAGGATGGGGAGTCTATCCTATGTACAGGGGAATATGCTTTCTTCTCCCTCTGTCTCTCCCTGAGGCGGTTGTCTAATCTGATGGCTAAAGTGATTAGCTCCTCAAGGGAGGAGGGCTCATCCCGAGCCGCTAGCTCGTCCTTAAGCTGTTCGGACAGACCCCCGAGTGAAAATCCCCTTTAATTCTAGTTCCCCCCACCCACTCTCGGCGCCACCGTGTGGAACTCAATGGAATATTCCGCCACTGACCGAGAGCCCTGGGTGAGGGAAAACAACTGTTTAGTACATTCAGGGCCCTCTACAGGAAAATCAAATACTTTCCGAAGCTCCTCCGAGAATCGGATGTAAGAGGAGAACATCGGCGACTCCCTATTCCAGATGGCCTTAGCCCACTTAGCGGCTTTGCCTCTCAACAAATCAATCGTGTAGGCTATCTTGGACCAATCCGAGGGATAACTAATTGGCTGTTGGTCGAAGACCAATGCGCAGCGGAGCAGGAAACCTCTGCAGCCCCCAATCTCCCCAGCATACGGCTCAGGAGGAGGGATATAGTGCTTTTTTGAAGATAGGAGGTGGTGGAGAAGGTGAAGAGGGGACCGTACTCACAGAGGGGGGAGATCCAGTTTGCTGCGGTGGAAGCCGAGAGAGTAGTTGCTCTGCCAGTTGCGCTACTTGGACTGAGAGACTGAGAGACCTTGAAAAGAATGATTGAGGCCCTGGAGCATATCCTCATGTTGACCAAGGCGAGTCCCGAGCTTCTGGACAGCTAGCTGAAACCTATCCAGGTCTGCTGGGTCCATTCCTGGCCTGAGTATTCTGTGGCATGACTGGTGAGTTGTGAGGACCCAGAAGCAGACACAGAGACAGAGATCAACTTAAGGTGTAATTTTAATGTCCAAACTCAGGTTTTAGAGGAAAAAAAGAGGAAGTCCGGTAGGCTGGTTGGCTGGCTGTCATGTGGGCTGGAGACACTGCAGGAAGAAACAGAGGAGAGAGTTCTACTAGACGTGACGTAGCAGGTCATGTGATCATGCTTCCGAGTGGGAACTGCCTCCCGGGGGCTTGAAATGGCGGGTGCCACAAGAGGCTCAATAGCATCACACAGTTCATTGAGGGTCATCCTAAAGTTTAGAATCCACAATTCGTCTGTGTGAATTCCTCATTAACGATCCTCTCCCAGAAATCCCTCATCCGTGTCTGCTCCCATACATACAGGCTTTGCCTTTGAATTATCACCCGCTGCCTTTGTCTTCTGATGACAGCAGCAGCAACAGCAGTAATGGACACAGAAATAGCTGCTCCAAAACGCAAAATGTTTTGTATCTCCTCCATGTTGGTGTGGAAAAAGGCTTAAGGAATGTGAGGTCGCACGGTCAGGGAGTTTACCTCATTGCTAGGCAACGGCCATTCAAACACGGCTCGCGAGAGGAAGACGGCTCGCTTATGCACTGAACACTGTTCAATGGAAACACCGCAAATCGCAATTGCACTTTGTCGAAATTTGATAAACATTGCTTTTATACTGCGAAAAAATGTTATGTAAACGCAACTAGTGTCTCTAGTGTATATATCTGGCTGCTCTTTTAACCCACACCATTCCTCCTCCTAAAACTCTGGTTTAAAGGGTTAATAGATCTCAACTGTGGAGATAAGCAGCCAACGCCTTTAATGTGTTTTACAATGTAGACATAAAAAAAATAAATAAAAAAATAAAAAACTCAATCAGTGAATCTTTTTCATCAGTCCTCTCTTCCTGATTGGCTCTCAGGAGTACGGTGTGCTCCTGATGAGTCAAACTTCCAGGTTTCCAGACAACCGAAGATTGTCCTGTGTTTCTGCTGAGCCTCACAGACACTGGATTGATACCTCTACTTTACAATTTGGGATGATTAAGGTTGGTTTAAGCTGTAAACTATATTTAAGCAGTGTTTGTTGCGAGATGAACACGTTTTAAGTCAGAGGGTTAGTTTTATCCTGATTTTTGCAGACTTGCAGACATGTTTTTATATTTTGGGTTTTATTTGTGATGTGTTTTCATTTATGCTTGTGTTTTTATGCATGTTTTCATTATGATCTAACTCCTGCCTTGAAAAAATAATTGCTGATCACCTGCACCGATGTAGTTGTTGGATTTGATATATAGTAGGATTAGTAGGGTCTGTTAGGTGAAAAACCAGTAAAACACTGGATTGTGTCCCATTGAGGCTGCATTCATTCATCCATCCATCCATCCATCTACCTACTAATCTACTGTATCTATCTATCTATCTATCTATCTATCTATCTATCTATCTGAATTGTGTCCCATTGAGGCTGGATCCATCCATTCATCCATCCATCCATGCATCATCCATCCATCCATCCATCCATCTTCATGTTGTAGGGGAATGTCTTCATACATTTAGGTTAAGAAATATAGAGTAATTATCTTTTAGTAAGAAGCTACAAATAATCTAGGTTGGCCTGCTCCTGCAGCCCCACGACCATGAGATTGTAAGCAAGGTTGTCTTGCAGGAGCCCAAACTATCTGTCTGTTGGAACATGTAATCTCTGCCAGGGTCAAGACGAACCTAAACAAAGTGTCGTGGGGCAGACATGTCATCATGAGGGGCCTTCTGGAGAATACACACACACACACACACACACACACACACACACACACACACACACACACACATACCTAACAGCATAAAAGAGAGAAGAAGAGAAGCTAGAGGGTGCTTCCTTCGGTCTTGGTCGAGACGCTGTTTGTCATCTGTACTGATTTCTACATCTGTACTATTAAAGACGCCCAGGTTGTTCTTCAGATCTCATCCTGTCTCCTGTGCATTGTTTTACTAAGTTTATGTTGGACTTTCTACAACATAATTGGCGAGCTTTAGCCAGAATTCGTTTCGGGGGACAAGGGACCATGGGTCTGCGAACTTCACATGGGATAAGGACACTCTGTGGCCACAAAAAGAAAAAGGTAGGATATTTCCTAAAATTTGGTTGAGAGTTCTTTTCCCTGTGAGGTGGTGCGGACTACTGTTCTCTGTCCTCTTCGAATCAAAGAACCTAGAATAGAAATAAGAGGAGACAGTGGGAATGAAGACAGTCTGAGAAAACTGCATGCATGCAGTCAGCTGATCAAAGTCCGCCAAATTTGTGAGGAAGCCAATTGAAATTGAATATATATCAGCTGATTTAAGAGAAACTGCAGTTGACTGTGTGAAATTGCCTCACGCTGTTGCATGTGTGAGATGCCATATGTAGAGCTGTAGGCTGCTACATATGAGGGATACCATATGAAGAGCTATAGGTTGCTGCATGTGATGAATGCCATATGTGGAGCTATAGGCTGCTGCATATGATGAATGCCATATGAGGAGCTATAGGCTGCTGCATATGATGAATGCCATATGTGGAGCTATAGGTTGCTGCATGTGATGAATGCCATATGTGGAGCTATAGGCTGCTGCATGTGATGAATGCCATATGAGAGGCTATAGGCTGCTGCATGTGATGAATGCCATATGAGAAGCTATAGGCTGCTGCATGTGATGAATGCCATATGAGAAGCTATAGGCTGCTGCATGTGATGAATGCCATATGAGAAGCTATAGGCTGCTGCATGTGATGAATGCCATATGTGGAGCTAAAGGCTGCTGCATGTGATGAATGCCATATGAGGAGCTATAGGCTGCTGCATGTGATGAATGCCATATGTGGAGCCATAGGCTGCTGCATATGAGGGATGCCACATGTAGAGCTATAGGCTGCTGCATATGAGGGATGCCACATGTAGAGCTATAGGCTGCTGCATATGAGGAATGCCACATGTAGAACTATAGGCTGCTGCATATGAGGGATGCCACATGTAGAGCTATAAGCTGCTGCATATGAGGAATGCCACATGTAGAGCTATAGGCTGCTGCATATGAGGAATGCCACGTGTAGAGCTATAGGCTGCTGCATATGTGAGATGCCATATGTAGAAGCCATAGGCTGTTCTATGTGTGAGAAGCTATAGGCTGGGTGCAGAAGCACTTCGTCTTCCTGAAAGGGTGAGACCGCCTCACGCTGCTATAAGTGTGAGATTGTCATATGTGAAGCTATAGACTGGGTGCAGAAGCACTTCGTCTTCCTTAAAGGGTGAGACCGCCTCACGCTGCTATAAGTGTGAGATTGTCACATGTGAAGCAATCGGCTGGGTGCAGAAGCACTTCGTCTTCTTTAAAGTGTGAGATCGCCTAATGCTGCTATAAGTGTGAGGCGGACATATTTTCTTTAAACTGAATGCCTGGAGATAAAAGGGCCTGGGTAATTGTTGGGATAACAAGGGGAGCGGCAGGCACAAATGTGTCTGTCCATTGTTGAACTGTGAGCTTTAGGTTATTTTTTATGAGCTCAAGTGGCAGTCGCCGACAGACGAGCAGAAATCCTCACGAAAGTCCGAAAGGCCCCATGAAATCAGTGTTGTAATTGGACTTAAATTACAGATACAGATTGGCTTGATGAGCAGGAGATAGAAAAAGAGGTCAATAGAGATAGGCTGAAAAGCCTATTCAGGGATCCCAATTGAACAAGCACGTCCCATATCTCCTGACCAATTGTAGAGGAATCACACAAATTGAAAAAAAATCACACAAATTGGAAAAATTGAAGAAATCAAAACAAGAATTAAAATAGAAGACTGCTGACTGACTCCAGTGACTGACTTTGACTTCAAACACGTGTGAAAGGGTATACCATTGTGTGATGAAAAAGTGAAGTGTGTGGGTTGATTGGATGTTTGTGTGTGTCTGTTTTGTTCTGTGTCAACTAAGTTCTCTGGCAGTGTTCACAGCCAGACTCTGCATCTGTGTGTGTGTTATGCTAGTCAAAGATTGCTGTGTTTTCCTCATTTGTGTTTATTTCATAGTTGTTTATGTGAATACTGTGCTCATTGCGGTCATGTTATCAGTTGAGACATAGAAGGTTAAATACTCCTGGGAAAGAGGTTCTGTTCCTAGTACCATGATGAACACTCCTGATATGAAGGTTTTAGCTTATGCTCAAATATTATGGTTTTTTGTTGTGAACACATGTCTTATGCTCCTTAACAAATGTTCTGTGTTAAAGCTGCTGAAATAATGTTTGTAAAAGTATAAAAGATACAAAAAGGGGAAAAAGAAATGAGGTACCACAAGTGCAAAACTTCTAAAACTTCAAATCTAAGAGTTGCTTCTATACATCTGCTGTTTTTGCCAAAATACTGTGTTTTTCAAATATTATTGAAGCTGTTAATATCAATACTGACTATTGCTATAGAACTTCAGTTAAGGCAAAAGCTTTATACTGTGTATTTTTGGGAATTTTACAAAACTGCTGGGGATCAAGTTTTGATGTGTGTGCTCATTTGAATAATAAATTTTACAAAAACCATGACCAGAAAGGGAAGATTAGTGTAACTCCAATTGCACTGGTAGGGTGTAAATATCCTGAACACTTAAATGATATCCAAAAACTTACAAAGAAATGGGAACATTGAGTCAAGGGGTTTGAATTTTTATGACCTAGGGGAGGCACATCTGATGTGACTGTGTGTGAGGATTTGGAGCAGCGAATCTAAGACCATAAACACAAAGATAAAAGTAAAACACGCAAAAACAAGAGATTTGGAACTAGAAGTACTGAACATGTTCAAAAGTGAAGGCCAACACCATTTTATGAATAAATTAAAGATTGGGCTTGCAGAGCTTTAAAGTAATAAGGAGAAGGTGGAGACAAGAAAGTCAAACATGATCGGATTTTTATTACATGCTTCGACTTTGTTCAACGCAACACTTAGATTTGTGTCATTTTCATACTTTAGATTATTTTTTTTCTTCTTAAATCATGCTCTGATCTTTTGAACTAATAAATAAGAATAGAATAAAAACTAAAACTTTTCTATCTTAGGTTGCCTGTAAACTTATTATTATTATTTTTTTTTAATCTCTTTTGAATTTCCAAATGATTTAAAATCATTGATATTTTTGTCCCATATGTTTTGAGAAGGAGATTGACAGTTTTGGTGAAATGTTAACCCTCTTTGGCCCTGAGGTTAGACCTAAATCCAGATTATGGCCCTTGCTGTGGTTGAGTTTGACACCCCTGGCCTAGATTATGTTCGCTTGGAAATGCACTGATAGTATGTTTTCAATCTTAATAAATGGCACACAGGCTAGCTATGTGCTGTGGAAAACCACACACCTTGTTGGACTGATTGCCAGACTACCACAAACCGAACAGGGGGCAGGGAGATGGATACGAGTTTTTGAGGATGAACTGTAGGAAAATGTTGACTACACCAGACATGAAAGCTGTCTTGGCTAAACTGCTGGGAACTAAGACGATGGAGGAGTTTCTGCGCAAGGCAAAACAAGGTTGGATGACGTATCCCATGATAGATGGGAGTGAGTTCAATGCATATTGTGATGTGATGTGGAGGGTGCTGCCAGATAAAGAGCGGAGACCGAAAGAACAGGAAAAGAACATTCAGCGGAAGTTGAAACAGCCACCTCTAAGGGGGACACTGCAAAAGGGACCCAGCGATGCAGACCGTGCAGACGCTAACTGCGGTAAAACCTGTGACAGTAACCTGCTTAATCACCTGTTGTGAATGTTTATCCTCAGACAGAACCCTGCTCCATAGAGAGGATATATCCTGGCAGGGGGAGAGAGTGGAATTCTGACGGACGTGTGACGTCTATAGACCTGCTGGGGATGTGATCATACCAGACATTTTTGACGACTGCCCAGACCAGGGACGCCTCTGGCTGGAGAGGTGGTGGGGGGCCCCAGCCCAGACAATGTGAAAGTGGTGGCTTACTACAGTGTGATTTTTGTGGATGATGGAAAAAGTTAATTGTTGGTTTTAATTTTAACCCTGTTGACCCTATAGACCAAAGAGCCCTATGTAGAAGTAACATTCAAATCTGGTGCTCACTGCAAGGTGTGTAAGTAGACAGTTATGGTTTATAGTTTTAAGTAAATATCGTGACATTAGCATTGTAACATTCCTGTTCTGTTAGTTTAATACTGATAAATCTAAATGCAGCTGTGCTGAATCCACATACACTCCTCACAGATGTGCCACCTAATGTAAAAGTAATAGGAAGCTATCAAAGGTCAATAAGGCCACAGAAAATGGTTTAGAGTCAAATAACTAGTTTTTGTACCAGTAGTATTAACAAACAAACTTAGGATCTGACTTTCACAGTGATTTACACTGTGCAAGGGGGGAGATGATGAGACAATTAAAACAACATTTTTAGAATATGCTGACAATAGTTGATAAACTCTTGGGTCATTGTGATATGTGTTTCGTTAGATGAATTGAAGAGAACAATAAAACAGTAGTGGGACACTTTTCCAGTTCCAGAGAGACGCTTTCAGAAATCTATTCATAGACAATGTGGACATGATTAAAACTTCCAAGGGATATGTTACATGTTTGTAATGATGGCGGGTTCAGTCAATGGATAGAAGCAACACCATCAAAAGATCTTGGAGTCAAAATAAATCTGTCATTGCATGATTTGGTACATCATTTTGGGGAAGAAAGTTAATCTCTCAAGTAAATATCTGATCAGAGAAGTTGCACTAACACTAACTTATAGGAAGATGCTTTGCTACTTGCGCTTATGAGCTTTCACAATCAAAAGCACTGAGATAAATCTTTCACTGCATGATTGACTAACTTACAAAGCTATGCTTTACTGCGGCTAAATAATTAAGTTTTTCGCTTGAGCAGCTGAAAATTAGTGAATTAAATATATGAGGCAGCTAACTACGATGCAAAGATCTATCGATTAGCAGGAGGAGTGCCAAAATCTATCCCAGTCAAGAGGTGGAGGCGAGTCGAGCCAGAGCACCAGGTGTACATCACCGTCCTTTGAGGAGGGTGGCACAAAGAACGAGGAGAAGACCTGAACACTTTGGTCCTGGTGAACTCTACTTCAGTGCAAGAAGAGGGCAATATGATGTGGCGTCATCTACCACTGACTGCCCAGAAAAAACAAGGGAAGTATGACTTGATAAGAGACACTCCCAGAATGACTGGAGCACTCGTCCTGAAAGTAACTGTTTTCCTGGTGTTGCTGCTGAGGGACAATGTGTGGAGAGAGACCGAGAGAGAGACTGATGACAACAATGAGGGTGAAGGTCAAACTGGTGCCAGTACAGCTGTGAGAAGAAGAAGTGGGAGACATTGTTATCGCGGGTGAGTACGATGCAACCCAAAACACAATCCACACCACTCCAGACAGAGCTAGAACCCATGCCAACATTCACAGATTATTACAGATTTACAATGAGGTTAAATAGATAATAAAATTAAAAAGTATTTCGTGTGTGGTAATGTGAGAATGAGAGAGGATGTGAAGAGAAAAGATGTGTCTTAAAAGGTTTTGGAAGTACTGTCGCAGATACGTTTCTAACAAAACAAGCCCCTGGGGGAGGTTTTTCTAAAGCTATGAAGGGTATAAAGAAAAGTTTAAAGTGGAAATGCGGGAGAATGCTGGTAAGGGGGGCCTGTTGATGGACTGAAAGTGATGAAGGGTAAAGAAAAGTTTAAAGTGGAAATGCGGGAGAATGCTGGTAAGGGGGGCCTGTTAATGGACTGGGTGGTCCAAATTTTAGATGAATGAGAGCCGTTTTGGCCCAGCCATGAGTGCTGCGATAGCCCTAATTCTGATTTCCTTTCTCACATGTCGCATCGTACACATCCTTTGGAGACATTGTTGGAAGCTGACGGAGAAGATGGGACTTATGGTGGACCTGACACTGGCCTGTGAACTACAGGAAATGCCACCAAAACAGCTGGCACAGTGTGTGACTAATCAAGGAGGGACTGAGGGACCGGAACGGTTCCTGGACTTTGAAGGAGAAGAAGATGAGCAATGGACTTTGAGCAACACAAACAACATGTTTGTGTAATGTAATGTAATGATATTATCAAATGTGGACACTTTCTTCTATGCAAATGAAATTATGTCAGCGCATCCAGGAAATGGATGGTCGCCAGGGCACGGGGCCGTAAGATTCTTTCCCTGCTGAAACAGCTGAGCAGGGTTTTCAGTCTTACGCGCTGATATAATTTGAAATGATCCTAGCTATGGTATAGTATGGTACTGATTTTTGTTTCTTTAATCACATAAGGATGTTTAGTGTTTGATATGATGATTAGGTTTTTTGTGAAAGTAAGAACTTTCAAAGGGGGGATGTGTAGGGGAATGTCTTCATACATTTAGGTTAAGAAATATAGAGTAATTATCTTTTAGTAAGAAGCTACAAATAATCTAGGTTGGCCTGCTCCTGCAGCCCCACGACCATGAGATTGTAAGCAAGGCTGTCTTGCAGGAGCCCAAACTATCTGTCTGTTGTAACATGTAATCTCTGCCAGGGTCAAGACGAACCTAAACAAAGTGTCGTGGGGCAGACATGTCATCATGAGGGGCCTTCTGGGGAATACACACACACACACACACACACACACACATACCTAACAGCATAAAAGAGAGAAAAGAGAAGCTAGAGGGTGCTTCCTTCGGTCTTGGTCGAGACGCTGTTTGTCATCTGTACTGATTTCTACATCTGTACTATTAAAGACGCCCAGGTTGTTCTTCAGATCTCATCCTGTCTCCTGTGCATTGTTTTACTAAGTTTATGTTGGACTTTCCACAACAATGTCTGTCTGTCTGTCATCACATCTCTCCATCTCTCCATCTCTCCACCCATCTCCATCTATCCTGAGTGGGCATGCTACTGTCTGTCTGTCTGTGTGTCTGTCTGTTGTTTTGTCTTTTTCCCCTCTTTTCATCTTTTATTCTTTGGGCTCTATTTTCGTGTGCGCCGCTGAGGCGACGGAGGGTGGCGAACCCCGCGCAGTTGTATTTTTGTCTGGCGGAGCCCGGCGTACAGCCAGTTTGGTATTTTCGTGGACTGAGGCGCACGGAGGCAAACCGAGATCCGCCAAGCTGGGTGTGGTGGCGTGGCAGGGGGAGGTGTCGACAGAATCAGCTGCCGCAGTGACATTTTCGTGCTTGCCAGTGGCGTGTAAAGTGCGCTGAAAGCTCGCTGATTCAAACCTGGTCAGCTTTCAGCGCAGGCGGAGCGCAGCTGGTCTAGTGCCTCACCGGCAGGTTTCCACAGTGTCAGGCACATTTCAGTGCAATAAATAATCATCAACAACTATTAATCTGAGTCAGCACATACATTTAGATCTATATAGATATATTCTGATCTATATCTGATCTAATGAACTCGTTTGGCACGCGTTTGGACACACAACCTGACCGAATCAACACAGCTGAAACCGCATTAAATTAAATTAAATATCTAGTAAATAGACACACATGATGAAGTTAACAAGATATTTAATTCGTCTCCCTCCCTTTCTTCTTCCTCTTCTCTTATTTCTCGCGCAGCTCGACCTGGACATGCCTCCGTGTCCTCTCTCCGTCCTGCTGCAGCTGCGGCTGAACACATGATGTGTTTCAGTGCTCAGATGAGTTATCTAATTTAAGCCGACATACAGATATTATAATATTCAGTTTTGTGAGCCAAATTTATTTTATATGCCAACATCTATGAAAGAAAGAGCCAGGCCACGGAGCGCGATGCGTCATTTACGCACAGATGGTTCCGATTTTAATGCCATTTATGGAGTTTATGTTGTGATCTGTGCGCACAACCCACCTTTGTCACGTGAGGTTTGAATATATGCAACTTTATGTGAGTGTCTTTATTTGTGGAAAAGGGTGATTGTCTTACCAGTGGGTCCAACATTACACACACCAAATCCATCTGTGCTCATATGAGAGAGTGTGGAGGACGCCCAATGCAGCGCTTACAGTGACACTCGTTGAGGAGCTGCCTTCTGTCGCCATCGTGTGGCATTACTGTCTTCAGACATCTCTTAATCTCTTTGACTACTTCACGAAAATAGTAATACGCCTCACCGGTGGCGGATTTAAAGGCGAGGAGAGGAGCTGATGTGATTGGTGAAAACAGGTCTCGGCTGTGTTAAATCCACTCCACACCCTCTCTCCTCCCTCGCTATGACTTACGCCGCTGAGAGGAGCTAGGTAATCCAGCATCCCGGCACCGACACATCCAGGAACAGAGGGGCTCAGCTTTGCAGCCACACTTAAGGAGTTCTCTGCAAACTTTGGCAGCCTCTGGCAATCGTGTCCATAGCGATCTCCACAAATCATTGACTTTGGTCCATCCAAATTTGTCAGGAGATGGTAGAGACTGGATAGCTTTTAAGCTGTTGAACCAAATCCTAGACTGATAAACTCCTCGATGTGCATGCTGTAGCAATGCAGCCTGTGTCGGAGGAATGTTTTCCATTGACAGAGATTTCTTAGCAAACAGGTCCTTCCTTAGGTCATTGACATTTTCAATGTCAGTTGTCTTGTCGTACAGAACACAGGTGTATCTTTCCAGTCATGCAAGTGTCTTTGATTCCACTAGTCACCTGCTATGTCTCGGCTTAAAAATAAGTTGTGCCTATACAGTATATGAGTGCTGGATCTATGGTCATATAAAGTTGTTACAATATATTACCTGTACATAATCATTCATAGGGCCTACTAGAAGTTTTTTGAAAAACAA